CCAGGAGGACACCCAGATTGCGCACCCTATCCGAGGGGGCCAAAGTTTCGCCCCCTATAGTCAGCGATGGAATCAGCTGACTATGCCGAGGCGCCGGTAGCCACAGCCACTCGGTCTTGGAAGGGTTGAGCCTGAGTCTGTTCCTCCCCATCCAGACCCTCACGGCCTCCAGACACCGGGTCATCACGTCAAGGGCATCTCTTCGTTTCATCTAATGACTTTTGGGGAGTTCATCTGCAACTTTGCTTGAATCATTTGAAACAATTTTTATATTTTATTTTATAGATGCAAGGCATCCAGAAGTAAGCTCTCTGAATACTAAAAAAAAATAAATGCAATGTGTCATTACAAGGTCAGAAATAAATCAGCCGCCTGTTGCTATAGTTGACTTCAAAAAGCTAAAAGGAACTCAGAACAGTTTTCTTCTACTTTAAACAATAGTTCATTTCCAGTTCCAAAGCATTTGCATTGAAACCAGCTGCCTTCACTGAAATTATCACAATGCCCCTTATCTGAATTTAACTCATTATTTAAACGCAACGCATTTCGCCTCATAATTTTGGAAAAATATTCTCCTGAGTTCTGCCAACATCTGTTTGACTATTTTAGTTTATTTTTGCTCAAGCATTCGCTTTGTAGAATACAGTATGTGCCAACTTCACACCTTTTCACCACTATCATATACAAATATTAGTAATAAATATATTTAAAGATTGACAGTCAATTTATTTTTAAAAAAGACAAACGAGAACATGTACATGTGAGCTTGGGTTCAAACTTTGCTTCTTAAAGAAGAATAAATCTTCTCTCTCACAGACACACAGATGCACATTCCAATCACGGCAGTTGGAAAATCTTGAAATGAGGATATATTGTGAAATTGTAGATCAGGGATTAATAATCTTTTTGGATTTGGGTCCATAGCTTTAGCTCATAGAGTGAGACTGAGTTCATATATCACACAAAGTCATATTTTGCTTAATCTTAATTTGTACAGAATGTTAAATTACACCTGTATGGATTCAAATAAGTGGCTAAATCAAAACCAACAAGGCATATTTTAGCGTGGCATGATACATCTATCTTGTGCTTCCTAGCCAAGTCAATTTTTGCTTTTGAAAAACAGTTGATGAGATATGAGAATTTGAGATCATGCTAAGGTTTAGAAGAGGAATGAGGAACGATGGCCCTTTTATGACTTGTGAGCTTCATTCTTGAACCAGGAACCCGGGAGTTGAAGTCCACAAGTCATAAAGGGGCTATCGTTCCCCACCTCTGGTTTAGAATCAAGTCATAGCTGGACTTCATTCATTCTGGACTTGTACAGAAGTTTCATTCTTTTTCCTTTCTATGAGAACCTTGAAGTAGATCAAGAGCAGTACTTTGGTGCAGTTGATTTTAAAACTAGGAAACTGGTTTTGCAACCAAGTCCTAAATAATAATAAACTAGCCATTGTATTCACAGAATGTAGCTTTAAAATATTTTTTCAGACATTCTGTTGAATACCTTTTTTTCAATTGATTGTGAATAATTCAATTGTCAGGGTATCAGAGAAATCCAATAAAGCAGACATGAAGAAGTACAAAGAAGGAATACAAGGCTCATACAATTCAACTGAGTAAGTGATGACAGAAATCATCATTACACAAACACGTACGCCCTTATATTACATATTGGCATGTAAATATTCAGTAATGCTATCTTGGTGTCATTGTGGTTTGATGAAGATGCTGCTAACTAATGATTGAAAATAATCTTTAAATGGCCTGGAAACAGGAAATTGACTTCAGAAAGTAGGCAGACTACTCAATAGCTGGGACATATATTATAACAGAGATGGCATTGTAGAAACATTTGGCTAGCTAGCATTGGAAACAGGATGCTGCATTAAATGGACTTTGGCTTTGACTTAGCAGAACTCTTCTTTATGTTCTCAGAGTCATGCTGAACATTAATTCTGAACTCAGCCTGGTTTTAAAATAGAGCTGTGATGTGGCAGAGGAGGCTTCTGTTGGAAAGAAATGCAAACACAGACCTCCTTTAGGCACTCTGGAATGAGTTCAGTTGTATGGTTCTTTGGAAACTGGCCAGTAACTGGGAATTGGCTAAGATTTCCAGTGCAAGAAATCTCTTGCAGCTGTTTCCACGAACTGTGTAAGGAACTGTTATAAAGTAGCAGAAAGCTACTTGGTATCTCCTGTGGCTGCTAAACAATGTAGAGCTTTGTGTATCTGCTTTTTCTCTTTGTCTATGGCAACCTAAGCCAAATACCTTGACTTGATTCTACAATTCTCTTTGCCAGACTTTTTTTGTACACACAGAAGCATTTGCACCTACTATTCTCAGGAGAACCTTTTAGGAAGGGTTGAACTGTATAACAGGGGTCTTCAAACTTGGCCCTTTTATGACCTATGGACTTCAACTTCCAGAATTCTTCAGCCAGCATGCCTGGCTGACGAATTCTGGGAGTTGAAGTCCACAAGTCATAAAAGGGCCAAGTTTGAAGACCTCTGCTGTATAGTAATGGCATGGTTTTTAAAAGACTCCAGTCTCAGTATGTTTCACCCTCTAACCACAATAAAGCAAGGACAAAAGCATTCTGAGAATGAAAATCAGACCTTTTTTGGCAGGGTAAGAAAATGTTCATGAAGATGGATTTTGAAATAATCCATTTTTAATCAACTGCAGTCACTGGATTTATGCATGCATAACTCTGGTTTCAATATGATATCTATGACTGGAAGTTGTATTAAAATAAATAGGAATCACTGCCAGAGTAAAAGAAATTAGATTTACTCTTGAGAAGCATCTTTAGCATGCTAGGGGAGTTATAATGGGTCCTACTGATACTTTTATCTCTATTGGTTTGTTTTCTGTTAGCTTTGCTTAATTTTGGTTGACATAATAAAATTGAAGCAAGAGCTAGATTAGCAAAAGAATAAACTTCTAAAGTACTGTCTACATGTACATATTTCACATGGCTTAATAAGCAAGTGTTACATGATCTATTTTTCCCCTTTTCAGATATATCAATCTGAAGCATGTTACAGAAGATTTTATTAAGCTGACAGAATACAAATCCGTGAATGACAAAACTGTTTAAATTTCAATAAGCTTAAATGAGATGGTTAAGAGGATGGATTTCTGGCTAGAGAGTCAATTAATTAGCTATTTTGAAAGGCAATTGCCTTTAAAACACAGATTGCTTAACCACATCATCTTAATGTATTGTGTACATTATATTAAATGTAACCTGTGGAAGACTGAGTTTATGCATCACATTCATCCTGCACACGTGCATAGGCTGCAAATGCCCTTATTTTCAGAAATCTTTTGATAGAACGAGTGCTTCTCAGGTCAAGCTAATAAACAATGATTCATCTAGGCCTTCAGCTCATTCCTATCTCTTGGTGAAAAAGGCAGGGCTGGGGTGGGGGGGGGAGGAGATAATAAAGAAGAGAATTTTATATTCAAGACATGGGAACTCTCTTTTGATTCCAACAGTGATTTCTTTATAGTGGTCCATGACTCACAGGAAAGAATGGTTCATGGGATAGCACCAGCAGCATTAAGACAGTCTTCTTTTTTTTTTTTTTTCTTTTTAAATCAACCTAAACCACAAAAAGTGTATTTCACAAGCCAGGCTGGAAATCTTTCATGTCTGAAGCTGAATTTGTCTCACTTCTGGGAATTCTGTTTGGGTCGGGAAGGGACATGAAAAGGACGACCTGCTGGCTCTCTGCCTTAGCAACAGCAGATGCAGCTTAAGGGGCCGCTAATTCTCTATATGATGTTTGACTGGGATCAGGAGGACGTAGGTTCAGCTGTAAAACATAGGGGGAGATTTCTGCAGGGGGGCAGGATGCCCTGTAGGGCACCTTCCAACTCTTATTAGTCATTTACTTGTGGCCAGCTCTCTTTCATAGCCCAATCGATACCACAGAACTTTTGAGAAATATAATAAGGTAGCCCATTTAGAACTTCCATTTAGAATAATTTGTATACTGATGGGAAACTAAATTTAAATAAGAGCTTGAAAAACAGGATCTACATTGATTCAATAAGAAGGCCTTATTGAATACAACTGAAATATAAGCTGGTTAGAAAAGATGTTATATATTATTATTATTTGTATAAACACTAGAAAAAATGTCTATATCTAATTTTGTATGCATCGATAGTACCAAGAACTGTATTTGCTTAATGTTGGTAAAATGACAATATTACTGGAAGAAGAGAGGATCAAGGCATTCTAACATGTTAACTATGGAATTATAGAAATTAATCACTATTAATTATTGTTAAATATGTGAACCCAGACAACACATTGTTTACTAAGCACCAAAGATTCTTACTGTAAAAAAAATCCTGCAGTTTTGCCAAATGACAGCTTGCTAGCAGAGGACTGTTGAATTTAGGCAGAGAGCTGCAGGAAATCAGGCCTAAGCCAAGTTGCCCAAGACTCCTTTTGAGGAAGGTTATGATCCATGTAAGAAAAGTATACCTGCTAAAATATGTGAGGATAGTATCATAAGATGGGATTATCTGAATTTTGGGATTTTGCTGCAGGAATACCCAGTATAGTGCAGTTCTCAAGAGGTAGAATTCATTGATGGTAAACAACCTGGCAAAAGAGGAAATATTAATCCATTAGTTACATTTCGAAGTAAAATTTTTAAAGAGCAGTCATTTTAAGACATGGGGAAAACATTTAATCTTAGAGTATTTCCCTTTAATAATGTTTTCAAAAGTTCTGTTACTTCAAATGCATGTAACATATTTCAGCATATTAATTAATGTCTGATCTGGCAGATAATGATTGTAATTCCAAAAACAGCAAGTGTTTGCAAAATGCCAAGTTTAAAAGCAGCCAAAGGCGCAAACTTGTTTTTTAAAACAATTTTAACCTTTGAAATAGTGCAATTAAGATTAACATCGATGCCATTTCAGGCTTCAGTAGGTGCAGGGACCAACTTTAACAAGGAAGAAGTCCAGAGCACTTTGTTTATGTTACAGTTTAAATGTGAGAGCCCAATCCAAAATCTAGATCAGTGTTTCTCAACCTTGACAACTTACGATGGGTGGACTTCAGGTCCCAGAATTCTGAGAGTTGAAGTCCACCCATCCTAAAGTTGCCAAGGTTGAGAAATACTGGTCTAGAATATTGTGATGATTACTTCTAATCTATAAAAATATTATCAACACATTAGCAGTTAGGTATAGCTTTGTTTTAAAAGAAAACATAATTTTATTTACTGATGCATGTATATATGCTTTCTTGTGGTGGCACAGTGGTTAGAATGCAGCACTGCAGGCTAACTCACTGCTCACTCCAGGAGTTCGATTCTGAGCAGCTCAAGGTTGACTCAGCCTTCCATCCTTTTGAGGTCGGTAAAATGAGGACCCAGACTGTGGGGGGCAATATGCTGATTCTGTAAACTGCTTAGATAGGACTGTAAAGCACTATGAAGCAGTATATATGTGCTATTTCCTGCATTTTTAATAAGAATCTCCACTGGATTGCTTGTATAATATCTACTGTCTAATCAAGGCAAGTCTTGGCAACTACTGTGTTTCCCTGAAAGTAAGATCTACCCAGTCCTTTTTTTGTAAAAAAAAAAAAAAAAAAAGGTGCCGGAACTCACACACATCATACAACCCGCCTTGCCTACCCTACAAGGTTCCATCCCAAAAAGGTGCCGGAACTCTGTTCTGGGTGTTCTATGACAAAAAAAGCCCTGGATCTACCCCAAAAGTAAGCCCTAGCTTGAGTGTTGGGGGTGGGCCTAATATAAGCCCTACCCTGAAAGTAAGCCCTACTTAAGAGCTCGCGCAGCTGGCCGCCTGCCGAAAGGTCAATCAATCAATTCCAGCTTCCACAAAATGATTGATTGAACTTTTTTTTTTTTAGTCCCACAAACTTCTTTTGTTTGTGGGACTCCACACAGCGGCAGAGGAACGCGACAGAGGAATGCGATGGAGCTGGAAATCAGATAAGCAAAGAAATGCTTGGGGAAAGCGAGGGGATCTGGGAGGTGGTGGGGCAAGCTCTCCAGCTCTGTGGCCATAGAAAAATGCAATGGAGCTGGAAAGCAGGTACCAAGGCGAACTCCCTAAGGGCGCCCAGTGCTGAAATGCCTGCCCAGACCCACCGGAGGAAAGCCGGCATCTACCGGCACTTACGGTAAATGCGGTGGCATTCCGGCTCTGGCAGGGAAAGGGCAGTTGGCATGGGTGCTGACAGCAGGGTGGCTGCTCGCTAACAGCAGGATGCCCACTCCCTTCTCGACCCTCTGGCGCTCCACCTGCAACTTTGGCCCTGGACAGCCGCCTCCTTGCTCACCTCTCGGATGGGCCAGCCCAGCCCAGTAAGGTGCCCCCCCAGCATCCCCAGGGCAAAGGTCCCCTACTCTGCCTGGAGGAGCATTGGCCTGCCCATCCCTGCCTTGGCACCCTTCCTGCCGCTCCCACTGCCCAGCACAGCTGCCCCAGGGCTACAGGGGCTGGCCTGGCACGGGAAGGGCACACTTGACACCCCGCCCAAACTCTGTTATACGGTATCTTTACCATATTGTAGTTGATCCACCACCACACTCTGAGATTGGCCCATCACTGCCACGCTGCGTCTCCACCCCATGCACAAGCCATGCCAAGCCACGCCCTCGCATGCTTGTTACCTGCTGGTAATATAAGACCTACCCTGAAAATAAGCCGTAGTGCTTATTTCAGAGCCCAAAAGAAAATAAGACCGGGTCTTATTTTCAGGAAAACAAGGTAGTTGCTTCTCTCCTTGGCCCTCAACCTACCCACAAAGTAAATTTTGCAAGAAGAGATGAGGCTGGGAAATTGTCAGACTAACATTACATAACCTAAGAAGACAGAGGCTTTTCTGAAAACCACGTACTGGCAAGGAAATTTGAAAAGAACAGCTCTTAAAACTTTGAGGGAAGAAGCTAATTGCTTTCTGAGAAGGATGAAATTAATGAAAGGCTCAGATAAGACAAGAGTCTGTTCAAAGATTAGAAGTGTGGAAAATGTCGGCAACTTTCAGCAACATTTTGGAAATGAAATCCTTTGGTTACAAAACTCATTAGAAAAGTTGAGAATTTGAGCAAATGGAACGTGTCACCTGTTTGCTACATATAGCTCCCCAGCTGACCAGCACCTTTGTCTGGAAAGATATATTCAAGACTCATGCTACTTAAACACTTGGTGATTTATAGCCCCTAGAAGCCTCCAAAATGCACAGAGGGGTGGGGAAAGAAAGCTAAAATGGATAATTATACACTGATCATTCATTTCTCTTTTTCTGCCCTGTGTCAATTTTTATTTCTTATTATGAAGCTCCAATCTTATAAGGTGAGGAAAAATAGACTATATTGAAGGGGGGGGGGCACTGGCAGATGTTCACTTTTTTAGTGTTACTATTTCTACAACAACAACAAATATTTCCAAGAAATATTCATGGAAAGTGGGAATATAAGACCATTTAACCACCTAGCTTCACTATTCACAATGATCAGATTCAATCATTACCTGGTGAATCAGATCATAATAATCAGATTTGAAAGATTCCGTTAATATAGCCAATATGGATAAAAGTAACCTTCCGGTTACTTGGTCTGGTCTAGTAGTGGGACAAGTTTGACTCTGCTGTACCTCCTTTATCCTCAATCTCTACATCCTTAGAAGTAAGGTAGTTAACAGCTATCTATATAATTATGAAATCATTGCTAAGTGAGGATTGATTTTTATACATACACAAATGTTATTTGCATTTTATGCTGCTGCTATTTTATATTTGCTAAAACTGTGCTTGCATTTTACACCCTTACAATGTAGTCCTTGATTAATGATGATAATTGAGGCCAGAATTTCCATTGGCAAGCAATGCGGTTGCATAGCTCAATGTCACATGACCGCATTGCTTAGTGATGGCAATCCCAGCAGTCCCCATTGCCATTTCTTGAGGATAATGGGTCACTAAGTCAGCTGCCAGGTTTTAACAATTAAAATCAGAAGGAAAGTTGATAGGAAGTTGCAAGTCCCAGGTGGCTTGCACCAGGTGAGCAGGAAGATAAGCGGTGCTCAGTTTAGCAATTTCAGACTCAGGGTGGCTACTGCTGGATGGTAGACTGTGCATGGGCAACTGCAGCAACATGCATAGTTTTGGGTCTGGGGATGCCTGCTGTTGGGTGGGGATGTGTCTATAGGTCAGTGGTGGCGAACCTATGGCACGCGTGCCAGAGGCGGCACTCAGAGCCCTCTCTGTGGGCATGCGCGCCATGCCCCGGAGATGGCAACTGTCCTCTTCAACCAGCCACCCGCTAACTCACTGAGGTCCACGTGGCCGGATGCATCCTAGCATCCATGTGCTTGCTGGCCTCTGTGTGCGGGGGCCAATGGTGTCAGGCAGCAGCCACCCCGGCCCCTACTTCACCTTGCCCTGCGACAATGGCACCCCTGCCCTGCCTCGTCTTGCCTCATCTCACACCACAGGACGAACCTCCTGCCCACCACCCCACCCACCAGAGACCCCCTGGATCTCCCCCAACCCTGTCCACCCCCCCAGGCATCTCTCTCCACATTGAGTTCACCACGCCCACCCTGGCCACACCCACCCATCTGCCATGACCACCGTAGCCATGCCTATCCAGTGGGCCACACCCACCCAGCAGGCCACGCCCACCCTGCACCCGGTGATATATAAGTGGATTTTGGGTTGCAGTTTGGGCACTTGGTCTCTAAAAGGTTCGCCATCACTGCTATAGGTGCTTGCATCAGCATGCACAAAGGATTTCAGGTCTGGGGGTAGTTGCTGCCAGGCAGGAGAGACTTACTGAAGCAACTTACAACCTTTCTTACATTATCTAGATCACGGGTGTCAAACTTGCTGCGTCACATGACGTGTCGCGATGTATCGTGACTTTTTTTGCATTGCCGGAGCTGGGGTGGGCGCGGCCTCCGTATGATGCAACCGGCCCACAGATTGGCAGTTTGGCACCCCTGATCTAGATGGATTGTTGCCAAATCTAAGAAGACCACACCTGTATTCAGGAATCCTTCCTTTTAGTCAAGTACTTTCTGACCTTGGAGATTTAAGCACTTTCTGTAGCAGCTCCAGTGGCAGGTCCCGCAGACATATCTGGGAGCCAAGCTGTGGGACAAGGTTTACCTCAGTCCATCTTTCACAGGCAGTGATCAAAGAAGATTGTTTATACTGTTTCGAAAATGGGGAGAAAAAGAGAAGTTAAAGAAACTCTGAACTCTAGAACCATCTTGTGGTGGAAACTGGAAATAAAACCACTGTGTCTATATTTGAGTGGAGACAAAAAATAACATTCATTTCTTTTTGGATGACATTTTAATAGTTGCAAATCTAATGTTATAAAATGAAAGCACAACTAATACATTTAGAATTCCACCCAGGAAGATTTGCAGATTCCTGTTGAGTTTGTGCTAAGTTTCTGTACCGTATGTGAAAAATATCTCTTGTTTTCAATGACTAAAAAATGTGAAGGGCACTTCTACAGCTAGACATCTGCAGGACTATTGGTCTCCATCCCGGAGATACACCCAATTTCTTTAAAAACTGTTCCCAGAAACCTCCTTCTTGAACAAATAAAGGACATTTTTATTGAACAGATGGGTGCACGTTTCATTAAAACTCAATAAGAGGCAATCAACTGATGAAGGGGGAAAGGAAGTAAAGAAATCAGTTTGTTCCAGATCATCATTACAACTACACAAAAACTTGTTCAAACATAAGGAAAGCAAAATGTACCTGTTAAGACTAGTGTATATTAGCTTACTACCGGAATTAAGAGAAAAGCCATTAAGTTTGCAGCTCACCTTGCAGCCTGCAGTATAATAGCTACAGACTTTGGTAGGACAGATGCTTCTTCTCATGACCTGGATGCACCTGGAAGGCAGAAAAGATTGAGCTATAAGTGAGAAGAGGGTTAAGAGGATAACCAAAAAGAAGGAAATGCAAAATACAACTAATCTCTCCAGCCTTTGGCTCTCTATAAGCAAATGCCCACTGGATGCATTTTTGCAGGTCACAGAATTTCTTTAGCCCCTGGGTGGGAAATTCTGGTGTGTGTCTCAGTGATTCGTCAGAGAATCATCTTGAATCCTTTCTCTTCACACCCGGCTTAGCCTAGCTCAGGGCTTTTCAACCAGTGGTACGGGTACCACCTGTAGTACATTGGCACCTGGCAGGTGGTACGCGACCATCCTAGAAAAGTGGTAGTGGGGGAGGGGAATGAGCTGAACCGGTGTCAGCACCATACAAGCCTGAGCGAGAGATGGCTGGAGCTGCAGGGCTATCAGAGCTCAGCGGAAACACCAGGATCAGTGCCGCTTTCCAGCTGATCGGCACTTCTTCAGGACTGTCAGGGCTCAGTGGAAGCGCCAGGATCAGCGCCAGGTTTCAGCTGGAGCTCGGCACTGATCCTGGTGCTTCTGCTGAGCCCTGAAGAAGCACCAATCAGCTGGAAAGCAGCACTGATCCTGGTGCTTCTGCTGAGCCCAGAAGAAGCACCAATCGGCTGGAATGTTGCAGCATCTCCAGGGTCTTGTGATTTACATTCAGATGCTTGGCAACTGATTCATATTTATGATGGTCACAGTGTCCTAGGGTCATGTGAAGTGACCAAAACCTGCTGCAACCACCCAGCAGATGGGGGGAATAAAAACCAAACACTCCCCCACCCCACCCCCACTGCCAATCCTCAACAGAAATGCTCACAACAATGAAAACCTTGGACAGGAGGAAGAGCGCCACCGGGTGGGTAGGCAGGTGTCTTGCTCAGCTGTGGCTTGGGGGGAACTTTTTTCAGGGCCATTGTAACTTCGAATAGTCACTAAGCAAACTGTTGTAAGTCGAGGACTACCTGTACTTTATCACTTTTTTCCTTTTTTGGGGGGGGTCATCAAGTTTTTGACACCTTGCTAGGCGACTGGTGGTACTCTGATGTTGCCATATCCTAAAAGTGGTACAATGGGTGAAAAGGTTGAAAAGCCCTGGCCTAGCTCACTCTGTAGCATTTATCCTCTCAAGAGGCATAGTAGACTACCGTTGCAGGGAAACAATATTTGTTTGGTTTGTTTAATGACACAATTCTCTCAGGGACAACACAGTTTGCATTTTGATCAAATGCTTTATCTCTCTGTGGGACATTCAGGCTGCTCCCTGCCTCCCACCCCCAGTGAGACAGATAAAAATGGCTCCTCTGAAGGTCTTTGTAGTCTCTTGGCAAAAAGTAGCTATTTAGAATTGCTGTCCAAATCTCGTCTGAATTTTGTATAAAGGCCATTTAGAGACAAGACAGTAATGAAGGGAAATCAACATATTCTGTGTTTTTAAAACAAAATTTAAGGGGAATGAGAAAGTAACCCATGACATCAAATCAAGACAGAAATTAAACAATAATTACTGTTCCCTTTACTAAAATCACCCCTCCCCAAGAAACAGGGAAACAATTATTTCCATTAAAGCAAACAGCAGCTTTATGACAGTAAGACATCCATGGATATGAAAGTGTTTTAAAAACTCTGCCCCAGTACCAGAAATCTGATATAATGTTCTTTTCCACCTGAAAGAATTGTTAACATTTTTTTTCAAGACTCAATTACCCAGTCTTTCAACTATCACCATAACCATGCATATACTATCACATTTATCTTAGGGAGAAGAGAGAAGAAGAATCTTTCAGAATATTAATTGTGCACCAGGCACCACTGTTGTTTCACCACAAAACCTATTTGCATAAACATGGAAACTTGCAAGTTTAAACTTGCCCGTCAGTGAATGTTTACTCAACATGCCACTTCTCTAGCAATTTAAAGCAGAAGTCCACCAATGTTTTAAAAATATGTTTGATCCATAAACTACTAAGATTTTTGTTTGAAGATCAGGAAGTCAATTTTGGAGTCAGATTTTTATAAAACCTTTCCTGGCAGGCAGAGAGCATGAGCTTATGTTCTTACTGGGTGAGAGAGATACATTTCATTCTCTCACTCTAATATTATTGGCTTCAAAAGATGTATGGGAATACAGAAAATTTTGCCAATGATATTTAAAACCTGGTTTAGAGGTTCAGATACAAGAAGATGCAAAACATCACTGCATCTTATTAGGAGATTAAAATAAGCAAATCTGCTTGATATATCATTCTACAGCAGCTTTCTCCAACCTGGAAGTCTTCAAATATATTGGACATCTCTTAATCCCAAAGGAATTATAGGAGCATGATCAATGGAGGTGCTCAGTTGTGGTTAGAAGTTATGGGAGCTAACTTGGAACATATTTGGAAGCCTGCAGGTTTGGTGAAGGCTGCTTTACAATATTACTAGAGAAACAATAGTTTAGATCAGGCATGGGGAATCTACACTTCTATACGGAATTCTGAAATGGTCTTCTTCAAGATGATTCTCTGAAGAATCACTGAGACACATTTCCAGGATTTCCCACTAGGTGGCTAAAGAAATTCTGAGACTTGCAGAAATGTTTCTGATGACTGTCAGCTTGGTGAAGGTGCTGGCCTAGAAACCAAGAGACCAGTCCTGCTTTAGACACAAAAGCCAGCTAGTCCTGCCTTCGTCACAAAACCCAGCTGGGTGATTTTGGGCCAGTCACTCTCTCAACCCAACTCTCCTCACAGAGTTTTTGTAGTGGAGAAAACAGAAGAGGAAGAAGTACTGTATATGTTTGTTCCCTTCAGTTACTTATAAAGTAATAAAGCTGGGATAAAAATCAAATAAATAAAATATTGCTAAATTTATCTTCTTTATCTCTTGTGCTGGTAGATAAAATTCATCAAAATTTAGGAGGCCACAAGTTTCCAATTCTGACCTTATTACCCTTGGCATTTAAATATAAATATATTTTAAAACACAGTTTTGGGATAGACTTTGGCTGATGAAAGCTGACATCCCACCCATAATATTATTGTAATAAGAGAAGTGCCATGGCACAACTCACACCCCAAATCTCAAGCAAATTGTGTTACGGTATGTTATGATCTACTTACTTTTGGAAAAGGCTAGGAAACTGTAACACTTCTGCTGCAGCCAGAATTCCCAGAACATCTTCTTCATTCACTTCTGATTCAGAATTGTACATGTTCTTGAGTGCAACAGCAAAGGCTTCATCATATCAACAGAATATGCCAATAAACACATGTTTATAAATATAATAAGATATATTACTGTAGAATGTCTATGGAGATTCTCAATCATCCAGGTCATGGTTGTCTTAAAAGTGTTCCCCCACCACACACAAACACATACACAAAGGCAACTGGACTTTCTTGGTTTTTTTCTTTGAAAAAAGAACTGAAGAAGCTTTTTGGATGAGAAGTGAAATGTTTTTTTTTTTTTAAAAAAACCCTAAGAAAGTCCAGTTGCCTTCTGGGGAAAAAAAGCACCTTTGAGATTATTATAGAACTCTCACTATGTATACATTAGTTGCTCCCATCACCAATGATTTTAATAATAATAATAATAATAATAATAATAATAATAATGATGATGATGATGATGATGATGATGATGATGATGATGATGATGATGATGATGATGATGATGATGGAAGGGACCTTGGAGGTCATCAAGTCCAACTGCCTGCTGAGGCAGGTAACCCTATACCGTTTCGGACAAATGGCTGTCCAGTTTCTTCTTAAAAACTTCCAGTGTTGGAGCATTCACCGCTTCTGGAGGCAGGTTGTTCCACTGGTTAATTGTTTTGTCAGGACATTTCTCCTTAGTTCTAGATTGCTTCTCTCTTTGGTTAGTTTCAACCCGTTGCTTCTTGTCCTGCCTTCAGGCGCTTTAGAAAATAGCTTGACTCCCTCTTCTTTGGGGCAGCTCCTAAGCTATTGGAACACTGCTATCATGTCCCCGCTCGTCCTTCTCTTCGTTAAACTAGACCTACCCAATTCCAGCAACCACCTTAATATCCATGGCAAGTAGTCAATTTATAGAGTAAGATAGTTTGCATTACCAAACCGAGTGACATCTTGATCGCTGATTTCCAGAGCAATGGTGACTTTTGGCATTTTTCCCTTCTGTTGGCAAAATTCATCATGCTTATGACCAGTTAGTAGACAGCGTTTATAACAATGGGTTTCTGCCAAAAACATTGGAAACACAGAAAGGACGACACTATAAAAAGGCAGCTTATCCAAGGCAATGGTGAATAGAGAAAAATGTCTAAATCATTTATTTTTCATTAAGATATTTTGCCTGCTAATATACTAACAGTTTAATAGTTCATGATAGTTAATTGTTATTTTCAAAGAAGTAAACATTTTTCTAAGATTTTCTATCTTAGAACATCTTGATTGCTCATATAGAAGAGGGAGAAATATAAAAATACTGTAGGGAAATACCAACCCTAATTTTACCTTCTGATCCCAGCTGGAAAATATGACCGTAAATATCACTGAAATTCTCTGGCTGTAAACCATTATGAATCCAGTAAATTAGAAGATGACATATATTAAGACCTCGGTGTCTTAAATACTTCTATAGACATATAAAAAATAAATTTTGGAACATCTACCAATACCTTTTTTAGGTTTCAATAAGCTCCTTGTGTTTGAGGAATCACTATTCTGTGTTGCTTCAGCAAGAAGTTGTGAAAGGACTTGGGATTTAAATAAATACATTCGATGAAGCTCCCATTCATAGCCCAAACAGTTCAAAGTTACATCTGAAGAGACAAATGGAAGCTAGTTAAAAGCCATAGCTAGTTCTCTAGAGATGAAAAATCAGTCATGCAGCTTATGTATCTCAGATCAGACTGCTTACCTGGTTCCATGCCTTCTGTGATCTTCTGTGTATAAGAGAAAAGCATCTGACTGGGAAGTCTTTGGTGGGAGATTATCCTTAGTGGAAAAGAAATGGGTGATGAAACCATGATTTTAATGCACTTAATTTAATTAAAAGTCATCATCTATCTACTATACTGTAAATTAAATTTCCCAAACCAGAGGTATAAGGATTACAATTGGTCATCTGGAGGATTGCACTTAAGTGAAAAATAGTGACAGTTTTGATCTGAACTTAAATTGCCAGTATAATGCAGTAATACCAAGTGTAAAGTGACCCATGTAAATCTCTCTGGATATTAGAAAGTCATCCCTATGAATAGTAAGATTATGGGAGAGCGCAGTAGCAGTTGGCTAAATTTTTATCAATGTCTCTAACTTAATGTGCATCTAACATACAATATACATAACAAGCTGATTTCCAACTTGGTTTCAACCTATCAATGAGGACCAATGGCAGCTTACTTTGAAACTAACCCAATAACTAATGATAATTTTCCATGTCAAATACATAATGATGTACTGTATGTACATGCAGTTATGCATTTGGGAGACATCCGATACATGGGTGATGGACATGCATAGGTGTTTTGTCAGAGCATGTACAGTCTTATTGCGCTGAGGTAACTCAGGAGTAAATACAGTAAACAGTGGTCTGTATTAAATAGTGGTTTATCATACACTATCTACAATATACACTAGGAACAAAATACATATACGTGGTAATACAGCAAACTCCAACATACAGCAATTACAGCAGGAAACAGATGAGAGAGAAAGACTCCAGCAAGGCCTTCCCTTTTATACTCAAGGTCTTAAAGTGATACAGACTCCTGCTGAGTCATTCCTAACATTGCATCATTCATCTCACATTATACAAGCTGGTTAGCTTCTAAATCATTACCTTGACACTCCTCCCTTTAAAGTTAAACAGCTGTTAACCCAAATGCTCTTATACATTCTTGATGCTTGCCTGCATTTAAAGGTTTAGTCAATATATTAGCTTGAACAATTGAACAATTTTTCTCTGTGTGCATTCCTGCCTTATACTGCAGTTCATTATTGTGTCCTTCCATTTATTCTTTTCTACTTGAGATAATATAACATCTCATGGTAATTATGGGGTTCATCCCTTACGCTATATGCTCTAACCCCACTTGCTCTGAATCGATCAGGAGATACACCTTTATTGCTACGTTCAGACCTCCTCGGTATCACCTGTTCTTGTGTTTCTGTGACTTCTCTATCTCAGGTCTATCCTCATCTATCCCTGCTAATTCTGACCTGCTATCCTGTTCTTCCTTCACTGGGCTTTGTGTAGCCTCTCCTTCCTTAGAACTAATGCTACTTGTTGGCATGAACTCTTTAGTGTTAGCATGCACCCTGTTCCAATTATTTTATTCTGCAAAACTGGCAGACCTTGATATTACAACCTTCTTCGTTCCATCTGAAAATCTATATCCTTTGGAACTTGGCTCATATCCTACAAATCTAAGTTTCCTGGCCTTTTTCTATCCTTTCCTTCTGGTGCCTTTGGGAATATGCACCCAAGCATAACTGCCAAATGTCCTTAAGTGAGCTAATGAAGGTTTCCTTCCATATAACGTGTAATATGGAGTTTCATTGATAGCAACACTCCATACCCTGTTCATTAAATAGTTGGCTGTTTTTATGGCTTCTCCCCAGTACCTGTTACTCATTCCTGCATCTGCCAGCAGTGAGTCCTTCATGGTCTGCAATATATCATTTCTCCTTTCAGCCACTCCATTTTCTACTGGTGTGTATAGGTTTGTATGTCTATGCTTTATGCCTACATTTCTCAGCCACCTTTGAAAATTATCAGACATGAACTCTGTTCCCTTATTTGTTTGCAGCTGGCATACTTTATGGCCATACCTTCTCTCTACAAAGTTCATCCACTGCTTAAACCAGTGGTTCTCAACCTGTGGGTCAGGACCCCATTTGGGGTCGATCGACCATTTCATGGGGGTCGCCAAGCAAGGCTGTCTGCCATTTTTTTTTGTCCGCCATTTTTTTTGCCCATTTTTTTTCCCCTTTTCCGGCAGGTGCCTTACCTCCCTTGGGCTGGGCCAGCTGGTGGTCGGCCTGCTCCGTCTCTGCCGCTTGCCAGCTACGCCTCGGCCGGCGCAGGGGGCAGAACCACACATGCGCGGCGCTCCCGGGCAGGGAAAGTCCTCGACTTACGATCGGTTGGGTAATCCTCGACTTACGACCGGTTTAGTCCTCAACTTACGACCGGTTTAGTCCTCAACTTACGACAGGTTGGGGTCGCGGCATTAAAAAGGTTGAGAACCACTGACTTAAACTGTTGTAGAACTTCAGTTTTGTTCTTTATTAAATAGCAGAATCTATACCTGGTGTAGTCATCTACTAAGACTAGTACGTACCTAGCTCCTCCAAGAGAGGGCGCCAGAGGACCAATTAAATCAACATGCACTAACTGTAAAACCCTGTTGGTTTGTCTCATGCTTTTTTTATTTATAGGATACACCCTAGAATTCGACTCTTTACAAATAGCACAATCCAAATATGTGTTGCATTGCTTAATTTGTAATCCTTACCTTGACATGTTTTTCAAACTTGGCAACTTTAAGATGTGTGGATTTCAATTCCAAGAGTTCTCCAGCCAGCAGGAGTTGAAATCCACATATCTTAAAGTTGCCAAGTTTGAAAAACACTGACATATGAAATTCTCCCAACCTTCTTCTGCCCATGTTTCAAATTCCAAAATGTCTATTTAGAAGAGCAGCAGTTTGGAAATGTTTAGCAATATATTATCTCTATAAGTAGGAAGTCTATTCTTACCACTAAGCATAATGGAACCATCGTTTTTGGTTGTTTTCATATGGTACATTATCTGCTCCAGCCTCTATAAGCCAGAGATAAGCTATTAATATTTTCCATATTGAAGCATTTGGTGCATTGTTATACTAAGAACCACTTCTGGCTGTTACCTGGGTCTGGGTTTGATTTGGGGAGGCATACTTGAAAAAGATTGGCCACTAGATTCATCAAGCAGTTCTGCACCTGTTTTCCAGGCCCCAAATTCTTCCCTCAGAGGCACAGGGCTATCAACTGGACATTTGGGGAAAAAAATGCAAGGAAGCATTTCAGTAACTATAAGGTACCACAGATATTTACTGTATATACCATTTATTCAATGTATGATCTGAAAGGGAGAGGTACTTGTGTTTCTTTAACATTATACAATTGTCTGTGCTAATGGAATCCTTAAGTTTGCCTGCAGATAGCTAGGCTAAATGCCTGAAAATTGGTGCGAATGGATGAATTTTTACAACACAAATGAACCAACCAACCACACTGTATCTCTGTATAACATATAAACTCAGGCCGTGCAGTTAATTTATGATTGTCTGTGTTTATAGTCAACCCAAAAATTGGCCTGGCCATGTAATTACTTTTGATTGTAATTCTATTTTATTGTTTTAGAAATATTTATGTTTTACAGCTTTATAGCTTTTAATGTTGTAAGCTGCCCAGAGTTCCCTCCAAGCCAGGATGGGCAGCAAATAAATCTGATAAATTTTGTGGCTCCCCACTTGACAAGGAAGTGTACAATTAAAATGACAAATAATCCTACAAAAATAAAATATAGAAAATGATAAAACAAGCAATTCAACAAAACAACAAATCTTGACATGTTCACAAGACCTTTTGATTCAACCCCTGAGAGAGAAAACTAGATCTTTAGCACCTAACATAAGGCAGTCAAGCAGGGTCAGAGCCATCTTCTAGATCACCAGAAGGAATGCTATTCTATAGGGTAAGAATTTGCTATTTTTAACTGAATACACAATTATCAAAGTGAGTTATCTGAACACAAGGACTGGTCTGTAGATGTGATCCCATTTTCTACCTCATTTCAAATCCTTGTGTAGTCAAGCAAAAATCTCTAGTTCCTCATAATACTTTATTTCTGTATCCCTTATCGCTCCTAATAATTTTCTTGCTCCAGCTCAGGGGTAACTACAAGATGTAGAAGGGCTGGGGTTCAAGCAGATGGTCATGGTTATTGTCTTGACTTCTTGGACCTCTTCACTGCAATACCCAAAATTGGATGCAATAGTTTTGATTTAACCCAAAGTACAATTGAGCAATTAGCTCCCATTATCTTGAAACAATGTTTATATTGCTTCATTCTGAGGCTCCATTGGCCTGTCTGGTGCACTGCTTGCATGTGTTTAGTTATTCAGTAAGACCCCTAAATTCTTTGCTCATGCATTACATAAGATCTCCTCAATCCTGTATTGTTATTTCTTGCTTTTGTTTTATTTTCATCATCCAGTTATTCTTGCCTCTTTAATGTTCAAGTCTGTTAATATCATTGTGAGTTGTTATGAATTGGGTGGCTTTATAAGTCTAAACAAACCAAGTTGTCATTTAAGGTGTTAACCAACTCCCCTAGCCTGACAATTATTTGTACATTTAATTCCATTCCCTAAATGAATTCTAATTCTCTTGAATGGCATAAGGCAGAAGATGACCCCCAGGGGACATCACTCGATACACAACCATTTTATTAGAAGCCATTGGGTGAACTTATTCAACCAGCTGGGAATGTACTGAATCATTCAAGCCCATTTTATCCATGTTTGCACAAGACTATCAGGTGAGACTGCTTGACACTTTACTGAGATCAGGTTATGCTATGCCCACAGCATTCCTTTGGTTTTTTTAATTAGTGACTCTGTCATAGAAGAATGCCTGATAATGTGGGCTCATAGACCCAAGGCTTGCCAGTCTGTTCTGATAACTGGCCCAGTACAGAAATTAACTGGCCTCTGGTTTCCTGATCTGAATATCTGGTCTTAAGTCACGAGGGTCAAACTCGATCGCATCACGTGATGCATCGTGATGTATTGTGACGTATTGTGACGTATTGCAATATTTTTTGCCTTTGCGGAGCCGAAGTGGATGTGGCCTGTGTGTGACGCATTCGGCCTGTGGGCTGCCAGTTTGATACCCCTGTCTTAAGTTGATCTTTTATAGATTTCTGACAGTTCACTAGTATTTTTCAAAATTATATAATTAGAATAACACTTTCCACTAAACCTTTATAGGTAATCCTCAACTTACCACCATTCATTTTAATGATGACTCAAAGTTACAACAGCACTGCAAAAAAGTTTTCACACTTATGACCGTTTGACCACAGTCATGTGATCAAACTTCGGGAACTTGGCAACTTGCGTGTATTTACAACAGTTGCAGCATCCCCAAAGTCATGTGATCACCATTTGTGACCTTTCCAGCCAGCTTTCGACAAGCAAAGTCAAGGGGGGGGAAGCTGAATTTGCTTAACAACGGCATGGTTCGCTTAACACTGTACACTGATTCACTTAACAACCATGACAAAAAGATGGTAAAATAAGGTATGACCCACTTTACAACTGCCTTGCTTAGCAACAGAAATTTTGGGCTCAGTTTTAGTCATAACTCAAGGGCTACCTGCATATGTTTTACTTCTCTGCTTCACATAGTACATGAACTCGTGCATCATAACTTGTTAGCAAATGAAGGGTAAAACAAATAAATCTCGTATTGTGGAATCTGAATCCAGCCACTATTTCTAGATATCACCTTACCTGTCATTATTCTCATCAAGTTCTTATGGAGGCCAGTTTGTTTCGCTTTATTACTTTGTGAAATTCCTAGTAAGTCACAGGGAGAACTGAATGGAAATTGCCAGCGATTGATGGGTCCAGCTTGATTGCGGAAGAAACGTGGTTTCAAGGGTCCTGAAATCTTATACAAAAGCATTAACCCCTCAGCATTTTATCTAAGGATATTGATTATCTGCTCTATCAAGGAAATAATTAGGCAATCTAAATTTCAGAGGCAATATAGTTAGGTCCTGGAAGTAAAATTGAGTGTTGCTTCTTGCCTTAATTTTATTATTTTCTTGATTTTCTGTGTTGGAAACAAGTTGCCGGATTAAGGGCCATCCAGATATCTCAGCCTACTTCCCTCTCTCCCAGCCCCATCCTCCATGTTTCAGCCAAGACAGACAGATATAATGACAGTTGTTGGGCATTTGTTTTTTCATTGAAGAAAAAATGAATTCCTTATAATACTGTTAAACAAATCTCTATGAGACTACTAGGAATTTTCAAAGGGATGTCTGGTGTGTTTTTATGTAAGATGGCTTACATAATAACACACCCTTCCCCTCACTCTAGTCTAAAACAAAAGGAAAATGAAATCTGAGCCAAAAATTCTCTGTGATAATTTTTTTGAAAATGGGTGGGTGAAAAGAATTGGGAGGCTAGACGTGGGCCTTTGTGAAACAACAAAGATACATCTTGACAAGGTGATTTAGCTGTAAAGGTGGTGCAGCATTTGCTGAAGGTACCCAGTTTAAATGGCACCTATTGATGTGATTAGGTTTTTTCTCTTCTTAGCCATCAGACTGGAAATAGATAATCTGAGGAATGAGGCTGTAAGAGTTCTAATTAACAGTTGTTAAAGGTAGGTTGGCAATGCAACACAAGCATTCCAATGAATTCTCTAATTTCGAACGAGAAATCTACAGTATATACTATTGGCAATTTAGGGCAGTAACACCCTTAACCATTTTCTTGAGCTTCTTTATCCAGAAGGGAAGAGGCTTGCCTCTTTTATAAAATCATGTCAGTCTCCATCTGTTCATTGTTATTTCTTTTGTCGGTATGAAATATAATACTTGCCGGATGATCTAGGACATTCATTTCAAACACATGCTGCTATCTCCCTTATGTTGTTTGAGCTTTGCCCTCTATAATGGTAATGTGCATTCCAGTTCTTAACAGGGAAAAGTCAGCTATAAAATATTACTAACCTATGCAGCTGTGTGTGGGAAGTTAACAAAAAGTTCATCTAGAAGGAGAAATAAATAGGGAGGAACAAAGTACAACTTGATGGAGGGTGAGGTGATAAAAATGGTTCATAGATCATACTAGTCATAATATGATTTATTTTTGGCAAAGCCTATTGTCTGAACCCAGCAACTGTGATTTATTAAGGTAGACGTAGTTAAGCAACCATGGCTTAATGTTATGTTATTAATGTGGTCACTAATCTCGGTGATAAGAAGCAGGTCGAGAAAAACAGTGGACAAATGAACAAAAAACCCTGAAGGTAGCAGTGAAAGAAACAGGATTTCATGAAAAACTCATCCTGAATGTAAAACAAAAGGTTCTGTAATGTTGAGGGAATGGAGCTTGAAATGCAGGGGATCTATCAGTCAAGGAATTGAGAGCCGGAAGCAAAAAGACGGGATAATGAATGTTTAATATTGATTCTAGTATGGCAGAATATTCTTTGCTTCTTGCTAGTAAATCTTGTACATACGTAGGAATAATCTAAAAAAAATCTTTAGTTCATTTAAGTTAAATGATTGTGCAATTATAAATATGATAAGGCGTTTATATCTGAACTAAGAAACCTAGATAACCTATGGCTGGCATTGTATACACAATTGCACTGTGGCCTGTACACCTCAGTTTATAACTCTAATGGAAGAATAAATAGATAAATAAGAGGTCCTCTGGATTCTAACAGTCCAGGTAAGGCAGTCCTAAGAAATGAATAATTGAATTTTAGGAGGTTACAATGTCATTAACTTAATTTGGGGTAGATATTCTATAACAGTCAGCGTCTCATTTTCGTTTGACACCATTGCTACCAGAAATTACACTTACCTTTGCTATTTCTTTCTCAACTGGTGAAAGTCCTCCCAGAGATACAAAGGGAGCTGATAGCAGATAACTACAGGTTAAAAAGGTGTAATTAATGCCATACCAAGGTGAAACTTTGCCTCCCTCTTAAAAGAATACAGTTCTTTTCTTTATATAAAGTACTGTATCCCATGCAAAATCAAATGAAGAGTTTGTCCTCTACTCTTTTACTATCATGTACTTTATCTTACCTGAAAGTGGGACATTTGCTAAGTAGATAAAAACAGTATCTTGTGAGGAGTTGACACAGTCATCATGATATATATATCATGAGACCTCTTTGTCTTCTCCTTTCTGTTAAGATCCAAAAAAGCCCCTGTGTGGCATACAAAAGCCCCCTAAAGTCTCTCCAAAGCTTGCTACCAAATTATAATTTGTGCTGAATAATCATATTAACTGTACTGAATCATCAAACACTAATTTAATTCATTAAATATCATTTACATTTAAATTACAATAAATATAGTTTAAGTCCCACCCTTATTTCATCTGGAGAGCAAACAGGAAGGTTGCAAACAGGAAGTGTGGCCTCAGCCTGAAAAAGAAAAAGTTCTCAAGCAATGTTCCCAAACTGGCTGAAGAATTCTGGGAGTTGAAGTCCACATATCTTAAAGTTGCCAAGGCTCTACTGTACAGAGGTGGGGAACTATAGCCCCTTTATGACTTGTGGACTTCAACTCCCAGAATTCCTCAGTCAGCATAATCCACATCCTATGAAATGCCTGGAATCTTGTATCACAACCTGTCCCTACTTGATTCTCTTCAGTGTGTTAGACTTCATTCCCCATCATCTTTAGTCATGCTATCTAAAAGTAACAGGGTTTACAGCTGAATATTCTGGAATGGTATTAAGCTGGAGAAGGCTGATCTGCTAACAGACATTTGCTAGAAGCAAATACAGGTAGTCCTCAACTTACAACAGTTAGCTTAGTAACCATTCGAACTTAAACGGCACTGAAAAAATTGACATGACCATTTTTCACACTTATTTTTCACACTGTTGTAGCATTCCCATGGTCATGTGATTTACATTCAGATGCTTGACAACTGACTCACATTTCTGATGGTTGCAGTGTCCCAGGGTCACGTGATCACCTTTTACAACTCTCTGACAAGCAAAGTCAATGGGGAAACCAGATTCACTTAACAACCATGTTACTAATTTAACAACTGCAGTGCTTCACTTAACAAATGTGGCAAGAAAGGTCATAAAATGGGACAAAACTCACTTAACAAATTTCTCATTTAGCAGCCTAAATTTTGGGCTCAGTTGTGATGGTAAGTTGAGGACTACTTATACCAAGAAGTAATTCTCTTTGCCATCCACTTGCCCAATTGAAATTTATGTTTGAATGTATCAGCTTCTACTTACTGACATGCTGTATTATCTGAAGTCGGCGTTTCAGGAACAAAGGAAGAGAAATGAACCAAGTCTACGTGATTCTTTCTTTTCCCATAAAAATGCTTGTAGCAAGCCATTTGGAAAAAAAGTTCAAAAATTCTACACTAGTCTATTGCTAATACTCATGTGGAATAACAAGAGCTGCTGAAGAGAAGCTCACCAACCCCTTCCAACTTTATTTTCAGCACTCTCCTTCAAAAAAAAAAAAAAAAGACGTCCAGCATCAATAAAATCTATGAACGAGAGGGTCTGCATACGCATAACTGTGACATCTTAGATTGTAAGATGTAAGTATTGTGACATCTTCCATCACTGTGGCATCATAATACAGCCTCAGCAGTACCCACATTTCTGGTTCAAAGCCAGGAACAAAGATATCAGCAAATAAGGGTCCTAAGAACAGGCAACTTAGAAAGATGATGGATGTTGTTGGTATACAAATAGAGAAAAGTACATCAATTATCTCCCTGTTTGCCAACAAACAAACAAATAAATAAGCAAGCAAAATGGTATGAAATATTTTTTAAAGTAAATATGACTATATATATAGTATATATACATATATGTGTATGTATGTATATACACATACATACACACATACACACATACACATAGACACACATACACACATACACACATACACACATACATACATACATACATACATACATACATACCCTAGCATCTTGATATTGCTGATTCTAACTAAAATAGTTATACCGATAGCCCAATGACTGTCTCACTGGGATTGGCTTGTCTCACTCATGCCAGCAGAATAGGCATGCTGCGGATCCCATCAGCCTGATTTTTCCAGATGGTGGGATCCAGGAGGAGGGCCTTCTCTGCTGTTGCTCCTGTCCTCTGGAACATCTTGCCCCCTGGTGGGAGGTTGGCCCCAACTCTCCTTTTGTAAGATCCGTCCCTGCCAGTTGGTCTGGCATTCAAATGGGGGAACAGCACAGTGAAAATGGTTGATCAAGTAACAACAGATCCCATCTCCCTCCATTTCTGCCCCCGCCCTCCCCAGGTGTCCTTGATTTTAATCTTGATTTTAATTTATGCTTGTTTTAATAAGGATGTATTTTTATGTCTGTAAGCCTCCTAGAGTTACCTTATGGTAAGATGGGCAGCCAATAAATCTTATAAACCAACAAACAAACAAAATGTGGTTCTTGTTATTAAGTGACTGAATGTGAGTGAAACATAAGGGATAATAGATATGATCAAAGCAGATAGGGACATCTTTTAAACAATTTTTAAAAATTATGCATCTATTTTAAAGCCACTTAATCATCATCTTCTACCTTACTTATTGCTTTTTACTAGTCAAGCTTTTTATGGGGTAAGCAATATTATGCAAGTATTATACAAAGTTAAAATACAAATAATAAGCCAAAAAAATTAAAGGCATGGCTAAAACAAAGTAAATCTAATCCAATCTACTTTACAAAACTGCCCAGAGTCCTTCTGTGAAGAAGATGGGCAATTCAAAAATGTGATAAATAAATAAAAATAAATAAAAACTATCCTCTTTACCTTTTCTTATTTTTTCTCTTTGCAAGCTATTTATGCTTCCACATATTCATATTCTGATTCTTATATTGCCCTTTGCTCTTTACATTTTCACCACTCGCTCTCTGAGGAGCTCAGCCACCCCACCAAATTATGACTTTCTCTCTTATCCTTCCTCTTTAACCTCTCTATCACCATGTTTTAATGTTTTGGTCTTTCATATGAACACTCGCTTTTGAATTTAGTTCAGCACCTATTCTTTCTTGATCCCATTTCTTTTTGTTTTACCCCACAGACCTCTTAACTATCATTTGCAAACTGCGTTCAGTCTTTTTCCCCCTGACATATCCAACTTTAATTTCATACAACGGGAGAGAAGTACATTCTTATACAGACAAATACTCATTTTTCTTTCTTTTGTCACTCATTCAACTGACTTCATAATTAGCCATTACATTTCTACCAGCATTTTCCTGCCTCAGAATCATTTACAGTACATTTTCACATTATTAGCAATGGGATTGTGTTTCAACTATTGAGGAACACACACTCATTTATTTACTTTAATATTTGTCATCATTTATGTATATGTGTAATTGTTCACGTAATTTAACAAACACAAATTCCTTGATCTTTGATACCTTAACTTTTAGGTCCGCATTCCTGATTGCCTTATATAGTCAGTCTAACATTCCCTCCCAATTGTCTAAGGGCTCAGCTTTAGCAAAGTATTTTCTGTACACAAAAATATGCATGTGTATATGTCTTCAATTAGTAGCTCAACTCTCTACAAGCATTAAGCAAACATGGGGACATTACATATCCTTGATCCATTTCCTGTTCAGGGCTGAATCATTTGCTAAACATTCCAGTTATTCTAATTTTAATCCCATTTTATCCCTATCTGATCACATTCAGTAACCAAATCTTTTGTGTATTTGCACAAATACTCCCTAATTCAGAACTACTTTGTCTAAATTAACAAATGTGCAATAACCCTTTATTCATACATTTATATATTTCCAGTGATCTGCTAAGGAGCAAAAATCTGGTTGCACAACCCTGTCTGACGTAAAGCCACACTGCACTTTCCAGTTTTGAATAGAGTATTGTCATTTCTGACAACTTTTAATCAGAATTCTGCCAAATGGGAAACTTCAATGAATCCCACTTTAATTTTTGCGTTCATTCTTGTTACCTTTCAGTTTGTAGATCAGAACAATAATGGCATGAGTCCAGTTGCCAGGCACAGATCCAATGTTGCAATTTTTATGTGCACATTTTATTTTTGTTGTATCATTCCAATTCTAGTATTTGGGCTGCTATTCTAAAAGCAGACAAGTTTTTTTTTCATTTCTCCAAATACCTTTTTCATCTTCAGGTTTACCATATATTAAATTTTCTTACAGCTTATATCTTCCCTTTCCATTACCTTTTTCTTGCGTATTTTCAGGAGCCTACATTTGAGTTCAACCTTTCAGTGTATCATTCGTGTACAGATCTCTAAAATACTCCTTTCAGTATTGCCTCATTTCAATTTCATCCCAAATAATTTTTTTATTTTTTTAAAAAATCATTCACTCTGCTTGAGGTGCCTTGTATGCTGGCTTAGAATGCATGCATGAACACTATAGAAATTTATTAATGAAGCAACACTGAATCCAATGATACTTAACTTTGAATACATGTAACCATATTCAGGTATAAGTATCATTGGATTTAGTGAAGCTGTGTACTTGCAGATAAATTGTGCACTTTACCATTACATGGGACTCAATTCACATATAGCTTGTTTTCCCACTTTCATTTTCTCTTACTGGTTGACAGTGGCAACAGATGACAAAAGAGGCATATTGGCATATTCCTATATCAGCCATATGAATCTAACTTTTTTAGTCATTGGCCCAAGTAGCATGTCTTCATAAGAAAGTAAATGGGATTCAGTAGAGTCTCTATGCCATTTCTAGGTGAGCATAGAACATTTCAGCTCCTTTGTGCTGGAACTGATGAATGTTCTAAGTGATCTGTGATGGCATAAAGGTGTCTGATAAATCTTTTCAGTGAGCACTAGGAAAATGCTTCCAAAGTAGTAGTGATGCCTTGTCTGAAGATGTAAGCTCTGATGGGCAGTACAATCAGTACTAAGGGAACAGGCTTGCTTGGATCAACACTGGCATATTGTAATACTTCTCTTTTCTTTTTCTGTTTTAATTTTTCTAAGTATATTTTTCCTTTACCCTAAAACAGCATTTATAAAAAACAACCACCCTAAATTCTTAGGTTTGAACTCAACTAAAGACTCTCAGGCACATAACAGCACACAATTAGATAAGAATCTTTATTGCATACTAGGAAGCAATCACCCAAAAAATAGATTGCCTTTAGTCAACACGAAGGTACATTTTCCTTTTTATATCCTTTACAGTCCAATTCTGGTGCTTTTTTCACCAAACTCTCCCACCATTGTTTAATTGACTTTTGCCCTACATTTCTTGGTCTGTAGCTAGCAAACTGTTGGTTGTTGATCTAATTAACATCTCTGTCCTGAGAATATCTCTGGTTTGCAGCTTAAATTCCACAGAGGGCCAAGATGTCAAAGAACTTGATAGGTGCTTATCTGCTCATCTCTTTTCTTGCTCCTATAGTTCTCTTAAATCAAGAAGAACCACATGGTTGCATATTGACTACATTTTATTCTGCCGCATTTTATTTCTTTTAAATTAATAACATCACAACGCACCAGTTATAAGGTTAATGAAATGGGTACAGATTTGTTGTTAAATATTTTGAATAAAGGCAAAAATAGATGCTAAGTATATAGTACAATATAATTCAAGTATGTCAAAGGAATAATAAATACAAATATTCATGATAAAGAGCTGTGGAAGATTTTTGTGGATATATTTTAGAATAAAGTTCCCACAACGTGTCTACAAGTACTCCTCAATTTACAACAGTTCATTTAGTGACCATTCAAAGTTACAACGGCACTGAAGAAAGTGACTTATGACCATTTTTCACACTTATGACCATTGCAGCATCCCCATGGTCACGTGATTTACATTTGAATGCTTGACAACTGACTCACATTTATGACGGTTGCAGTGTCCCGGACTCACGTGATCCCCTTTTGCGATCTTCTGACAAGCAAAGTCAATGGGGAAACCAGATTCACTTAACAACCATGTTACTAATATAAGAACTGCAGTGTTTCACTTAACAAATGTGGCAAGAAAAGTCATAAAATGAAGCAAAACTCATTTAACAAATTTCTCACTTAACAACATACATTTTTGGCTCAGTTGTGGTCATACGTTGAGGGCTAACCTGTGTTCACTACTGTGGTTAACAGAAGTTGTAGTTAAATGCAGCTGGCACCAATTTTCCTACATCCTACCTAAGAATATCAGTTTTGTATTTAAGCATCATTGGTATTCCTAGGGCAACAATTTAAGAAACCCAGGGTAGCTTTGGAAGTGAAACTAAAGCTTCAGTCCTGTGGATACCTTTATGGAAATTATTCTCACTGCTATCAAAGGGACGTAGGTTAGAATTAGGTTATTTGATGGTT